TTCCAGACACCCGCACAAGTACAGGATTCTAGTCGCTAGGTCCCAGACACAAGTACAGGATGCTAGTCGGTAGGTCCCAGACACAAGTACAGGATGCTAGTCGCTAGGTCCCAGACACAAGTACAGGTTGCTAGTCGCTAGGTTCCTACACAAGTACAGGATGCTAGTCGGTAGGTTCCCGCACAAGTACAGGATGCTAGTCGGTAGGTCCCAGACACAAGTACAGGATGCTAGTCGCTAGGTAACAGACACCGGCACAAGTACAGGTGTTAAAGTGCATCTTTTATCACAAACAAGATATTCTATTAAATTGATTGTGTATCCTTTGGTAGTATCTGTACATGTTGTATGTGTAGGTTTGTTACTTTTACAAGATACAAGTGTCTAATACCTGTGTATGGGATGTAAGTATGGTGGACATGTGCATGTTGCATGTATGTGCATTGTGTGTATAATGTCTAACACCCATGTATTTTTGCTGCAGGTATGGTGGACACGATCTTTGCTGATGTTGCTCAGCCCGACCAGACCAGGATAGTCGCCATCAATGCTCACAACTTCCTCAAGAATGATGGTCATTTTGTCATCTCTATCAAGGTGAAATTATCACTGTGGCTACTGTAATGTTCAAATGTAGCTTCAATGGAAAATGCTGATCTAGGTCTTACTTAATTGATGTATTGGTAAAGGCTAGTCTCATCTTTTATGCCATTTTGTAAAGCTCAGCAAACTCTTCTCCAGTATGTTTCAAATACTCACTTTGCTTCAGTACAGCAGCAGCTATGGCAAAGGTTTATTTTTCTGTTACTGAGTTCAGATGGCGTGTAGCGATGACACACATTGTTTTCCAATGTTCTGTTTTTGGTGACTGTTCCCAACTGTTCTGTTTCGTTTCCAGGCCAACTGCATTGACTCCACAGCATCAGCAGAAGCCGTGTTCGCAGGAGAAGTGAAAAAGATGAAGGCAGAAAAAATGCACCCAAAAGAACAGCTGACACTGGAGCCTTACGAGAGGGACCACGCGGTAGTGGTGGGGGTGTACAGGTCAGTGGGAGGGACCACGCGGTAGTGGTGGGGGTGTACAGGTTAGTGGGAGGGACCACGCGGTAGTGGTGGGGGTGTACAGGTCAGTGGGAGGGACCACGCGGTAGTGGTGGGGGTGTACAGGTCAGTGGGAGGGCCCACGCGGTAGTGGTGGGGGTGTACAGGTTAGTGGGAGGGACCACGCAGTAGTGGTGGGGGTGTACAGGTCAGTAAGCAGTAGAGATTAGCCTCCACCAGGACTTTCTTCAGGAATACTAATCATAGCATTCAGCAAAAAGGAGAGTCAGTCCAGGGGAGTCAGTCCACAGTATGTTGATTCTTTCCCCCACTGCGCGGCCAGTCAAACCCCAAACTCTCCTGGCAAATGTTTTCTTATATATAGCCAGCATAGTCTGGTAGAGATATTATGGAATAGAGCAAGGATCGCACATTCTTTGTGTGATGACAGAGTACTGGAATAAGCAGTAGGAACTGTAGTTTCCCAAACATACAGGTGAACATGAAAGGCAAGAGTGTATATACACAGATCCAATAGTCTTTTAACTACCCATCAGATCTGAACTATCCATTCACTAAATTTGATGTCTCTTTTTTTTCAGACCCTCCAAGAAGTGAGCCCAGGATTCCAGTGTATTTGTTCTTGTCTTAGGTTTTTATGGGTTTAGTTTAACACAGTAGAAAACTTCTACTGTTTCCCTGATTTAACACAAGAACTCTGGTATCATTGATTAGAGAAGTGGACGAGGCTGGTTACGACGTAAAGTCACTCGCCAGTCATTTTGTAAATCAAGCATTTTTTAGTTGTGATAAGTAAGAATATATGGAAGTTGTAGTAGGGTATCATACATGGGTGTTATCTACAACAGTGATATTAGATAAGTCAAAATTTCCTTTTCTTGTCAAGACATATTCATCTACTTTTGCTACAGTTTGTGCCAATGGAGGGTAGTTTATATAATCCGCTAACCAAACTTTGATTTGTTGTAGTGTAGACTCTGAACTGCCTTATTGGTGGTTGAAGAAAACAAAACAAATAATAAAAAGGCTTTAGTTGAAGAGGTGATTTCTACTATGTATCTACTGTAAGGCAGAAGTACCTTCATGTTTGTATTTATGGACAAATTGATAAGGAAGAAAATTAGTTTTAAGTCTTTAAGTTGTCCAGAGCTGTACAGATATGTGCACAAGTTATGCTTAACGTTACACCTCCAGACTAACATGTACCAGTACTTCTTATTTTCCAAATGCAATTAATAACAACTGTACTAATAAAAACATCCAACTGTGACAGAGAGTCAAAGTCTTGTTTGCCTCCCACAGTGACTTTCTTAGTAATGTTTGCATGTGTCCAGGAGTGCAAAGTTTGCACTAGCAGTGTGTGTGTGAATGTTTGTGTACTATTGGTAGTATGTGTTCCTGTGAACTTCTAAGTTTAATCATTAACCACTAGCCCCTACCAGGCTTCGGGAAGTGGCAGAAAAGAGAAGTTGGCAAAACCGCCAGGGGAGTTGGTCCAGGAAAGAGTACAGTTTGCCACTCTATTTATTTCCACTCTGCAAGTGCAATTTACTTCCGGGATGGAAATTTTAGGTTGCACTAATAGGTTTGTGTGTTTAACCTAGTCTCCACCAGACTCCTTTTGCAGGCTGAATAAATTGTAGGAATCGGCCTAAAATGGGATGTAATTGGCTAATTGGACCCTTGATGGCCGGGAAACTCCTCTGGCCAATTATAGGCCGATTTCTACGATTTATTCAGCCTGCAAACGGTAGCCTCCTTTTCAGG